GATACCGATAGGTGGCCGATTATATTGTGCATCCCTAAACTGGTACATTATTTTTTTAAGTGTGTGACATCATATTGGACCATAAGAAACACAGATTTACCTTCACAAAGCCTCAGAAGAGCAACATTTATGTACAAAAAGGAAACCTATACATGAAAATATGTTTTGTTTTTAGAAAGTGTTTCTATAATGTTTTTTGTTGTTTGTTTTCATATAAATATACTGGTGTGATAACTTAGTATTTGTTTGATTGGTTTTTGGTATACATCTATTTTGAATTTATAGCGCCCCTTGGGGAAACTCCACCAGCCGCCACTGTTGTATTGTTACATTGTAGAGTGTGGTTGCAGCAGGGATGAATGACCTGCGGTAAAATTCACAGGACTGGATGGAAACACAGCTAATGATTAGCTGCCCTGTATATCAGGGAGCTGAGACGGTGGGTGTTTAATCTGCAGTGACAGCGACTGCAGTTTTATAACAACTGTATAAGGATGAGTGGAAAACACTACAGAGAGGCAACAAATCCATGTTGAAACTTAATGAATCACTAGACAAGATTTTACTAACAGTGTTTAAACCAAATTTCAGAAAAGGTTTGAAAATAAAAGAAATCAGGTATGATCCAAAAGAAACCGAGAACCTAAAAAAAAAAAAAAAGGAAATTTATATGGAAGTAAATCTGTGTTGCTGGGACTTAAATTAAAAATGCTACTGAAATTTAAATGTTGTATGTTTGTACTTAATGTTTCAGTGTTAAAATATATTCAGAACACATTTTTTACCTAAAAAAAAATTCATCGTCATTGTTTCTACACAGCTGAAATTTCCTTTGTTATTTTCTCTTCAAGCTAAAAATTCACATTACTATTTCAAAGTGATTACATCTTCAATACTTATTTTTCAGTTTAATTTTTCAATGTTAAAAAATCTGCATGTAAAAAAAAATCAACCTTTCAAAATTCAAACTCAATATTTTCAGCCTCCTGAGATTCAACTTGCTCTATTTCACTGTCTTAAATTCGGCGTCTCAATTCAGTGTAAAAAGGGAAGGGTTACTTCAGGTCACAGACATTAGCAATGGATTGTGGCGTCCAACACCCAGCCAATCCCGTTACGTTTTCTTAGTCACGTGACGTGACGCTTGCTGCGCTCATACTGAAGGAAAACCAGCATGATGGAGCCGGTCATGCAAGCTAACGCTAACTCAACGGTTAGTTTATTACTTTTATTTTCTGCAGATTTTTTAACAATCAAAAATTAAACTGAAAATGTAATCACTTTGAAATAGTAATGTGAATTTCTAGCTTGAAGAGAAAATAAATGAAATTTAAACTGTGTGGAAATAATGAATATTAACTTCTTTTTAGGCCAAAAATGTGTTCTGAATATATTTTAACACTGAAACAATAAGTACAGACATACAACATTTACATTTCAGTGGCGTTTTTAATTCAAATTCCAGCGACACAGATTTACTTCCATAAATTTAGAACAAAGTGAGGAAGCGCAGCGTTTCAGTAAAAAAGGATGAAAAAAACAAAACAAATAATATCCATCTTTGTTTACATTTAATAATATTAATAATAATTGAACGTTATTGATCTCACATTGGAGAAAACGCAGACTGCTATTGTGTGGTGCCCAGGGAGCAGTGTGGGGTTATGGGTCTAGCTCAGTCTGTTGGAGTGGGGCTTGAACTCAGAACCTCTAGATTCCAAGCGCAATGCCCTAACCACTAGGCCCTCACAGATTATACCTTCATGTTCACTAATGGTCAAACTAGAGGTGAGACCTATCCTCCATCAAGAGGCCAACCAGAACATTTCACATCCCCTGTTCCAGCCAGCCTTCAAGTCATTTCAGGCAGCTTGATGAATTCCTCAGTGTTGCAACGACGGCCAAAGTAAACGATAGTCAGAAACACCCGGATTATTCAGGACATGACCCCTTTATGGCAGCTGTACAGCTGCTCCTCAGAAGGAGAAGGTTCTTACTTTGGGTAGAGCAGCCCGGGGTGTGGGAGTCGGAGTCGTCTCACCGACCCTCTGATCAGCCTTCTCCACCTCCGACCTTCGCACCTCCAGGATGAGCTGGGCCAGAAACTTCTCTTGGAAGCGGGTCCGTTTCCCCAGAGCCCCTGGAAGGACCATGGTTGATCCGTAACAGAAACAGTTCACCTCATCCATATTCTCTGGTATTTTAAGAAGGCAAACATGAGAGCTGGGACAGCTGACAGACCTGTCATGTTGATGTGGAGCCCAGAGAGCTCCTTGGCCCTGTTGATGTGGTCCTTGGCGGCCTGGTACTCATAGTAGGTCAGACTCATGTAGGCACACTCCAGCTGGAACTGGATAGCCAGACTGGTGTGGCTGGACAGGAGCGTCTCGGATGTCATCACTGGAAGAGAAACATGGTTAAGGAAGCTGCTAACCACTCTGTGAGGGAAGGAAACACCGGCTCTGTTCGGTCCAGTCGGCGCTGCGGCGGTAGAACGGGCCGGGGTCCGTTGGTGGTCAGAAATAAAGGACCAGGGTCAAAAAAGGCCATAAGTCCAGATTGAGGAATCTGGGAATGTGCTAGAGCTCTGTTTCCATGGCAACCAGATCCACTAGAAGGGGTCATAATAGATCTCAGAGAATTCAGACAGCCTGTTTCGCACTATGTGTACTTGTGTGTTCTCGTTTACGCATGAAACGTCATCAACCTCAGCCCTAGTACTGTTCCAATTCATAAGAACCGCAGACCGAGAACGGACAAAGTCCCCGGATGTTGTTCCTGCCCCTCCCTCTTTACCCAGCGTTGTCCTTGAGACTGACAGCTGTCCCAGCATGCACTGCGGCAGCAGCAGCTTCCAGGTTAGCGCTCAGAGTATTAAGTTAAAAGTTCTCTTTTTTTGCTGTTGTTCAATAATAATAAGTTTAAAGATCATTTGAGGCAAGAATATTATACTTTTAAGCATCACTATATGGCCCATTTACTGATTGAATTCGTAATTTAAAACAAGTTGAGAGGACCACGGCAACCAGCGGACCTCCGAGGGTAACGGCAGCCAGAGGAAACATTAGCCCATCTGCAGCAAGGTTAGGGTCAGGAGTTACGCAACACTGCTCTAAGCCAGCAAGCTGCTTCCTGGTGGAAGATGGTGCCTGGAGGACCTTGAATGCTAAGCAGTGTGTTTATTACAGACCTTTTTCCACGCTGCTTTTGGCCAAGCTGAGAAGCTGCGGAGAACGAGCCTCCAGGATCTGCTGGTGCAGGTTGAGGTAGCGAAGGGTCCACCAGGGCAGCAGCTGCACAGGAAGCAGGAAATCAGATCAGACCTTATTGCTGAGGATGGATTCATTCAGCTGAAACACAACGACTGAGGTTTGATAAGCAGGTACATTCCTGACAGTCGATCAACACAGCATCACATTCAGATGTTCTGGAGGGTTCTGAGAAGCACGAGGACCAATGAGATACGGACGCTGCCCCCCAAGCAAGCTGTGCAGGAACATCTAAAGGATGCGGACGCTGCGTCATGGGGCCTTTGTTCAATGGTTAACTGTGTTTATGTGTTTAGCTCCTCGTTACAAGGGTTGTTTGCAGGGTTTAAACAGGAATGACTAACTCTAATTTAATGCTTTTTAATGCTCTTAGAAATAATTTTAATACCATCAACAAGCACCCATTACTCTGATATAGACTGTGTGAGGAATTATTAGGAAAGTTGTATTTTTTGGGATTTTGTTTTAATATTGGGCCACATTGTGTTCTCAATCAACCCAAAAGAATCCTTAATATCAAAGTTTCATATTTTTGGAAGTTGATGTGGCTTTTTTTGGATTTGGCCATTTTATGAGGATGTCTGTGTGTGCAGGTAAATAATACTGTGCAGAATTATTAGGTAACGTAATAAGAAACAAATATATACCCATCTCACTTGTTTATTTTCACCAGGCAATCCAATATAACAACTCAAAATCCAGAAACAAACATTTGCGACATTCAAAAACAAAAACAAATCAGTGACCAATATAGCCACCTTTCTTCACCGTGACGCTCTAAAGCCTTCCATCCATAGATTCTGTCAGTGTCTTGATCTGTTTGTGATCCACATTGCGTGCAGCAGCCGCCACAGCCTCCCAGACACTGTTTTCCCTCCCTGTAAATCTCACATTTCATGAAGGACCACAGGTTCTCCATGGGGTTCAAATCAGGTGAACAAGGGGGGCATGGGACAAAAAAAAAATCGGCCCTGGCATTTTGGACTAGACTGGCCCACCACATTTTTTTTGGTGTACTGAATTTTTTTACAAACTTTGCAATACCAGCTGTGCAATACCTTGAGGCAAGGTTCATGGAAATTAGTGAGAGTGGACACTTAAAATACTCCCAAAATCGCTCTTCTGTGCGCTGGTGCACATGCCTCCAATCAGACATCCCAGTAATAAATGAGCTTGTGTCAGTGTGTGTCACCGCTTCTGATTACAGAGATGTACACCACTCGATTTATTTAATTGGTAGTTGGCTTTCAAGCCTTTACAGCTTGGAGTAGGACAGCATGTATGAAAAAGATGATGTGGTCAAAATACTCATTTACCTAATAATTCTCCACAAAGTTTAAATATAAAAATATAAAACGCGGCAAAGTCGTTCATGAACTTTACAGTCGACAGCCTGCAGCTATGTCCCGAATTCCTTGTTTTTTCAGCTTCTTCTCCGAACATACGGTTTTATGATCAACTGGAAGAAGTTTGGCGTCACCACGCGGAACCAGTTATATCGGAGTTAAATAAAATGTATTTATGATACCTTAAAAACATTTTTTCATAGTTAATACAAATGTTGACCAGTAATATTAAGAATATAAGGATCTGAAATTAATTTATAGACATCCAGAATGTTTATTCTAGATGTGGAGAATGTCATTTTGTTTGAAATGTTCTATTAGACAAAGAAAAAAAAGTTTTTAATTTAGATAACAGGAATAAATAATCAGTAAAACAAGTACATATCAAAATGGCTTGCCATAGCCTGCTGTTACCGTGATAATATTAAGGGATGAAGAATAAAAACGTTATAATGTATAGAACCTGTGCATCATCTCATGGGTTCTTCCTCATGTTGATTCAGTCTTCTTTTACACAGTAAATACTGAGTGGCAGTTTGCAGCCGTTTCAGATATTATCATCCCAGTAAATGATTGTTATTACAGCTATCAGGCCCATAGGATGGCTTCAGATTGTCCCAGTAGGCTCATTAGGTTGTTATCATCCAGTGAATCCTAACCCTAAAGTAATTCTCTTTCCACCATGGAATTAATGAATCTATTTGTGTGTAATCTGAAAATAATTTCAGTAGTTCTTCATGTACTGTAAATATAACTAAATAACAAAAATAAAATGATCCACATCTTACTCATATTAAACAAACCAAAAGCAGGTAACCTCATATCCTGTCAACTGAGTTGTAGAATCCTCTCCCTATAAATATTCAATTCTCTGTGAAAAACTGCAGATCCTCATCGAACGGACATGAAGTGTTGTTTTTTAAGAAACCTAATGTGTCTAATGTACCTAGTGAATGATATATATATATATATTTATTTATTTATTTATTTTTATTAACAAAACTGAGTTTACTGCAGAAAACCTGCTGCTGACCAGGTTAGCTCTGGGAGGATGTTACTATGGCGACTGAAACAGAGGTTGAGGAAACTCTCTGTGAAATGGAAAAATCAGAGCTTCCCTGTTTAGGTTAATAAAACTTAAGAGTTTTCTTTAAACCTGCTTCATGAAACAGCCCCCTGGCTGCCACTAAACCAGAACATTCAGACGTACCTGAAGGCTCTCCATTTTGTCCGAGCATCTGGTGAGGATGACCCTGGCCAGCAGGAGGAGGAAGGGGTTGACCACCAGGCTGTAGACGGACTCGCCGTCCAGCAGCAGGCAGGAGCAGATCGCTTCCTTCAACACAACAGCAGAGGGGAAAGCTTCAGGGTTAGTTTGCTTCAGCTGCTGCTTCAGTAAACATCTATGTTCATATTGAACTCTGAGCTCCTCGTCTCTTATCCCTTCGCATCTTTTTCACATTTAATCTTTGGTTTTCCTCTTTCTCCTCAGATCCCTGTAAAGGAAACGCTGCTTTGACTCCATTAGCATGAACCACAGTCATAGCTCCGCTCACCTGATCCAAGTATAGTAAAAACTAAAATCCTTCAGCTTACCAACAAACGGAGGAGAATTCAATATGATGCCATAATTTCATCAAAGGTTTTAAATTTGTATCAACAACAACTGTTCGTTTTTTACAAGTAGAATAACTGTTGTTTTCTTCGTGTAAAATCTCTATGAAAGTCATTTTTTTAAATTTCCTATTTGTCCTCTGTTCTGATCTTAATAAAAAGAATAAAAATAAGCTGAGACTAGTTTTGTCATTTGTTAAATGGCAGAGCTCAGTCTTAGAACACAGTACTTTCCTTCAAGACTGAGAATGATTGTTTCCTACTTTCGGCTACTTTAGATCAC